CCCCAAAACCCCAAAACCCCAAAACCCCTCAGAGCTAGAGTCGATTGTATCAATCTAAATAGTTATTAAATCAATAAATATAAATCAATAAGAAAATATCTAAGTTAAGAGATTATTTTCCTCATATCATTTCAATTTTTGAAGACTTTTTCTAATTTCATGTTGTCATCAGAGGACTCGTACTTTGTTGCTGGTCTTTTTTTCTTTGCCGTGTGAGTGAACTTATCATGATGCCCGTCCACTGCCGTCATTCTAGACTTATTCTTCGAGAAACCACTCTTTTCTTATTTCGGTTTTTTCTAAAGCATTTTTCTAAGTGATTTGAATCCATCTTTAATAGACTTTTCTTCTGGTTGACCTTTGATGATCTCTTTAATTATAGTTCCCTAAGTATAAAACTCCTAATGAGTTTTCTCAGGAGGATTCATAGATACTGTGTATGGTGCCATCATACTAGGATCCACAGAATCACTATCCGAATAGTGAAGCGATGCATCTCTAATACTCTTATCATTTGTTTTATCTTTGAAGTTTTCTATTGAACTCTAACTATACTCGTGATTTAGATACTTAGAGGGATTTTTTGTGAGCAGCCCATATAATAATCTCTTATCCATTAAGGAGATCTGTCCAGGGTGCTTAAAGTGTTTTAGAGACGCTTGCATTTGCTTTGCATAGACAACATGAGTATGCTTATTAGAATCATCACTATCAGAATCAGCATACTCCTTGTGCTTCTTAATAAATCTTTAGATTCTATCTCCCTCATCTTCAGATTAAGAGCTTTCTGATAAATGTAGTAGATTTTATTTCGAGAACATCATTAAGAATTTTTAACGACTACTAAAAAAGTAGGACAGGAAAATATCAATTTGTCTCATTTTAGCCATCAGATTGACGCAATCTAGTTCTTTTTTAATCTTAGCCTCTCCCTTTTTAAATAGCCTTTCTTTTTTATAAGTCTTTCTGAAATGTCTAGTCTTTATACAAGGTCTACACAGGAAGAACGTAATTTTATTCCTGCAAGCTTCTTTACATGACATTTTCATTCTCCATCTATTGTCCAAGAGATTCTGAACGTAATTCAAGAAATCTTCAGTAATAGTTTTAGAATTCTTCTAGATATATTAGTGAAGCTACATATTAGATAGGTTGGATCCATTTTTCTATTTTGTCTTTAAGTTCACATTAGTTATTGTACTATCTTAGTCAACTGATTCCATATCATATTTGTTCTTTTTGCTAGAATAACTCTTTGGCTTAACATCAATTTGATAAAGTCTACTTACTAATGATGAAAAGAATAGAGTGTACTGAATTTTTGAGTATAAAAGAACGCAAACAAAGAAGCAAGAATTGTAAAATCCTCCGATGTCCTATAAGACTCCAGTCAAAGTATATACCTATCTATCGAATATATCATACTCTTTATCTAAAATAATATCTTAGCTAAACATAACTCCAGGTCCAGGACCCCTTTAATCGTCTGCTGTAAAGTATGTATTCTTTTATATCTCATAAAAGAAATCATTCACCTAAGTGTAGAACAAACCGAAAAGATTATCTGATAGTTGAATCTAGTTCTTCTTTACGAATGTTTGGTAGACAACACTTCTGCCATATTATAGGTTTACCCAAATATTATCTAAGAAGTAGTGAATTGGGCGATCAAAGTCTCCAATATTGAAGTATGAACTAGTAAATATCTCTTAGACCAGAATAGGAGCGAACCAGCTTTTAAAATCATCATCAGAAGAACAATTTGACCCAGAGCATCTTTAATACAAGAGAGTTAAACCTTTATATTCGGGTGCATACCAATTTCCTTGAATAGTTAAATTATTCCAATCTGGGCAATAATAACTATCTATACTATACAATTCTAGCTCTTGGGAGTTCTCATAAAAGAAGTTTTTCCCAATCTAACATTTTGAAAAAGGAATCAAGTAGGTATTAAATATACGATTAGAAGTGCCATCTGAATCATTTTTCAAAATTTTTATGTCAAATTATCTCAATATTAATTTCCCGTGTTTTGAATCATCTGCAATTGTATTTCCATAAAAGTCTGCTAGCTTAAATGCAAAAGAAATATTCTTTCTAGAAATATCTTCAGGTGGAGTATACGAGTTACTTATATTTACAAGTGTATTCTTCTTTATTTATGCTTAGTTACGTAGAATCATATCCCTCAACTTATATATGAAAATGCTAAATATGAACAGGAAGACTAAGGTAGAAAGAAATCCTCCAAAGAAACTTTGAAATTTTTCCTTCCCTCTAAATGTAAGCTATATAGGTTTGGCAAAAATATCTACACTCTTAATAAAACTTCTACAAGAGCGTTGCCTTGGCTTCTAATTAATTTGCATTTGGTCTTGAGTATTCAATCCTAGTAAATGTAGTTTAACTTTAGAAATTATTCAATTTATAAACTTTAAATAATCTTAATTATTAATGCTTTCAAACAACTTTTTTAACTTATCTCAAAGGTGCTCCCAGCATCTAAACAAGAAATAGAAAGAGTAATATAGCCATTATTACATTTAAAATTTCTAATGATGCAGTTTACCATTCTGTGAAATGGGGTTTTGGGGTTTTGGGGTTTTGGGG